ACTTCTACTTTCTGATTATCAATTTTCAATTTCAAAAAAAGCTTCACAAAAGAGGGCCAGTGTCCAATAATTTATGCATCAGAAATCAGTTGCGAATCACTATGTTGACACAATTAATAGTTTGTAATTATATATATAGGAATATACCTCAGCACCTGCCGGGTTAATTTTTAGTGCTTAAAGTTTTATGTTTAAATGGTATTTGCTAGTGGTTTGGTTTTTCTATTTCAAGTTTTCACTTTTGTTTCACTGTTGGTTCCCATCACATAACAAATCTGGTCAGGTATTCTTTTTTGTTATTTATTATTTTTTGGCTCGAAGATCCAGCATTACGGTAATCAATTATATTCTCAATTCTCTCTATATACACAAAATAGCTTGAAATATGATTTTTATGCTTGATTTAACCACATAAATCAAGCTTTTAGAGTATAAACCATTGACAATTGCTACATCTGCGCTTCTCTGTGCTTCTCAAGAGCTGCTTCGTCTGCAATTTCCCTGTTTCAGAGCTGCGATTACTTCTTCTTCTTCATCTTCTTCGTCTTCTTCTTCTTCTTTTTTTTTGTGAATATGTAAAGAAAGTAAGAAGCATATAAACACATACATACATATTGATTTTTATATATCTTTGATGTGATTTCAAATTGAGTATTGATTTTGTAGGAGAAGCTGTGGAATTGCTTGATTGTAATAGAGGAGATGGTGATGGATGGTTGATTTGGGGGTGCGGGTGGGGGTGGGGGTTACTAAGTTGCCGTTGATTAGCTATTTAGAGTACCTTAGCTCTGTTTGGTTTAGTTTCATCTATTTTTGAATTTTTTTTTTAACCCTCGAAGATAGTGTTGAGGTTGTGTAAGACCTCGATAATCATACCACAACATTTAGTACAAACCCATTATTATAATCCAATATCAAGACGCTCATGTGAACAGTAAACAAAAGTGACTAAATTTATAAACTGAAATCCGTCATGTTCTCAAAGATTCCTCTTCAAATTCTTTACAATGATTTACAAACACTGAAATACATATAAGAAAATTTTGATGCATCCAAATTGCCATAAAGGCTTACATTTTTCAAGACTAACGGCCTTGATTTCAACACACAAAATCCTAACTCGACAAATAAGCTCAAAAGTCGTAGACAAACAACATCAAGAAGCTTCAGTGCTCCATGTTGAACTCCATTCACTTACTTTCCAACAATATGGTAGTTCACCTTCATCACCTAGAATTTTAGGATATCTAACCCATAAAAAGAGAGTGAGCTTTTAAGCCCAGTAGGAAGCATACTAAACATAACCAAATACGATTAATATGTGTATGATCAATGTGATTATGCTATGCAAGGTCATGCCATGCTAACGACTTCACTCTATTTGGAAAACAAATTTTGAAACACATGGTTTGTATCCCATATTGACTCAAGTCATTAACCATTATCATAACCAAGGACTTTTAGTATACAACAATCTCCACATAAGATACCTCAAAATACTCCCCACATTTCCTGGCCACCAAGCACAGTAGGGCAAGTGGGCACCACTTACTTTTTTCAAAAACCTCCACATTTACTGGCCACCAAGCACAGAGGGGCAATTGGACACTCATTTCATTTTAAAAACATCTCCGCATTTTCCGACTACTGGGCACAAAGGAGCAATTGGACACCCGTTCCATTTCAAAAACATCACAATTTTCGGACACCAAGCATTGAGGGGAAATTGGACACCCATCAATCATTTCAATACTTCCCCCACATTTACAGGCCCTTAGCACGGAAGGGCAATTGGGCACCTTTACCAAATACCAATGACATCACCACATTTTCCAGCCACCGAGCACAGAAGGGCAATTGGGCACCTCAACACACACAACGCATTCCGAAACCACACAAAGCTTTAAATAATCCAATACTTATTCCAACACCATGGAAATGCAATGTAATGCATGAGTTTCCAAAATCTTCCTCTGTATCCTGAAATTCCTTTTTAATTGCACAAAAGTTCAACAAATAATTCAACAAATAAAATCTAATAAGCTATTCTCATTTTCAAGACTCCACGTCCTACTCTTTACCAACCATCAACCCATGCAAAACATTACCTTACATCCTTTCACAATTCCAAGTATTCACACAATTCACTTATTTAAATTACCAATAATATCATCGTGGACAATAAATTTATCCAACACACTTATTAAGATGAAAAAGCACTTTAATTTTCAACATAAGGTACCGATTAACTCAAACCCTCTTTTAATTTAAAGGTCCCAATTCTAGGGTTTTCAATAAAATTGGGGGTCTTCCTCATTTCCTTGTTATATCCTCAAATCATCATGTATTAACCATCAATGTACCAAAACATACTAAATCTTTCAAAAGTTTGGGGGAAAACCCCAATTTTGAAATATTAACATCTTTTAATCAAAGATTTCAAACTCAAATCAACCCATATGTGGCATAATACATCAAAATCGAACTAAATCATAAATGATTGAGTTAAGAGAACTCCCTACCCCAAGAAGGTGAGCAAACAACAAAGACCCAAGCAGGAACTTCGACAAAATCGCAATCCAATCGGTAAAGAGGAAGATCCTCACTCCTTCTTCACTAATCTTGCATGATCTAAGGTGGATCCTTGGTATAATAAGGTGAAATCAAAGGTTTTGTGGCTATGGTTTTTAGATATGAAGAGGGGAGGAGAAAAATGAGAGAAAATGAGAAAAATGAGAGAAAATGAGCAAAAAGTGGCTTTTCAACTGGTTGATCCCGAACAGACAGCTCAAGCGCAACTTCCTACACTCAAGTGAATAGCACAAACTCGAAGCAATCGCATGAGTGATAATTCCACTACTCAAGCAAAAAAATAGAAGTTCCAGAAGTTTTGTAGAGCTACAGTGAAAATATTGAGAGCATGAATTCTATGCTCTAGTGACAACTCCACTGCCCGAGCGATCCTGCTTACAAAACAACCAACTACTGGGAGCTAAAGATCACCACTTGAGTGGTCCGAAAAACTCAACTATCACAGTTTACCCTCCTTAAAAAATTTCTTCTTCGAAATTAAGAAAGAGCTAACAAGATGGTTTAACCACCAACAGAATGATGACAACAATTGAAATTAGAGCCAGATTTGGAACAAATTTCGGAATCCCAACCCAACAGTTCGGGGCCCCAAGGACTCCCGAACAACAACTCAAGGAAAAATATCACAACGTCTATAAGACAAGGAACAACAACAACATTAACAACAACAACTTTCACCCAAGATTGTTCACCATGCCCTATTACCAACAACAGGCACAATCCCATCAAGTATTCAATGCTCAAATACGAAAGAAAGCCCTCGCAACAGAACCTTCGGTCGACTCTCACCAAAGAGAAGAACTTACAATAGAACATGGCCAAAACAACACTCGGACACAACAAGCCCCAACAACCCCAAAACACTCCTCCAACTAACCACACAAACCTGTGACTAACAATTCAAACAAGGTTGCTATCCAACCCATTCATTCCAAACAATTAGCAACATCACTCCTTGTTAAAAGAAATTCTCTCCTTTTCTTAATTATTTGAAAATCAATCTCTTGTATTTAGAACATTTCTCAAAAAGTGTTCAAACTCATACCATCCAAGCTAGAAATACATTTTATTTTTATTTTCACAAGAGTGTTAATTTGGACACATAATCATCCACAATTATGTTGCAACAGTTATTTGGTGAAATCCTTCACCAGAATTTAGGTCAAATCCATGACATATTCGTTTACCAACGCCATTCGCAATCATAACACAAGATTTTTTTTTTTTTTTATTTTCTCTTCCTTTTTCACATTACACCCGGTGAACCTCTACTGTCACCCAACAACACTCATCACTCTTATAGTGATGCAACAATAGCATTTACACAACATTTTTGTAATAATAATTAATAGGAACAATAACCGTATTACCAATTCAAGTAAGGCACACGAAAATTCACAATTTTGCAATTTCAATCCTCCATAGCATTACCAGCAATTTTTACCTACATGAGGCATAATGCATAAGTCAAAAAATTGAGTCTACCACACGTTACTCCAACCCGAGGAAATCTCATTAACTCAAGACAAGCTTTATACTAGCTTCACAGCCACATACACGAGACGTCACACTCTCAAAACCACTCTAATACACCCGCAACTTTACAGTCCTCTTACTCAAGCCCTGCCATTCCCAAGGTGACCACTTGATAACCACACTCCCTATTAACCCATCGGCTAACCAAACTCAACAATTTTCCTACACGACGTACTAAGCACTGACATTCTACCTCACATTGTTTACTTCGATATGGAGTTTCACACTCCATTCCACACATTTCTCAAACTCATACCAAATTCCCCAAATCAAAGCCTACCACTCATGTTCCCAAACATACCACCATTCACGTGCCTATATGGCAAACGCATCCTCTCATCACACCTGAGTCCGAACTGGACTTCTTAAGGTCAAAACGTCCTACTCACACCCTTAAATCAAGTCACACATATTCCCTTGGCCATCAAACCTCCCACATTACACAATAGACTGATAGAGTTACAACAACTCACTCATCACACCAACATGTTCCCAACCACTCTCTCTCATTCTGTGGGCAGCAAGGGGTCACACCACCCTCCCATTATATACCCAAAATAAAATAAAATAAAATAAGAACCCCATTCCTAACATCTTAATACGAATCCCAAATTCCAACAATCCAATCCCAATTACATATAACTCTCACAAGACCTCACATACTCAACTTGCGAAGCAATAACATGTTCAGAACAGGATTAATATTTCCAACTTAACATGGATTCATCAAAACATATAAAATTACAAATAATTACAGTCCAATTCCCTTGGAAAACACACACACATATATACATACATATGCAACATCTGTAATTACACTGCCCAACCTATAATACCATAGCATGACCATACAAACACAACAATACATCACACTACTCCCCCATAACATCATCGTCCTGACTAGGATCACTGAATTGGTCACGCTCACTCTGGGGAAAATTACTCTTAACATGGCCTAGCTGATTACACTTAAAACTAGTAGATGGTTCCCTATCTTGTGACAGGGTTGACTGTTGGAGTTGTTCCCAATTCAAGACTGGTGGATGGTTATGCGACTGTTGGGATCCCGAGGCGCTAGCAACTTCTACTAATTGCGGGCAAAGTCTCTTCACATGCCCTAGTTGTTCACACTGGTAGTAGGTGGATACCCGACCACTACCCTGAAACTGGGTCTGAGAAGGAGCCAACCGTTGCTGTAGTCGTCTTCCTTCCCGTTGAGGGCAAGTTAAAGCCTTGTGACCCTGCTGGCCACATCGAAAACAAGTCATCTTATTCTGACTTGTACTTCCTAAACTCATCCTCGTTGCCAAACCCTAAGGCTCAGTTTGCTGCGATTGCAAAGGTGTGTTAGTACTACCCCTCGACTTCTTGGACATCACTGAGTCACTCCGTAACTCATTTTCTCCTTGTCTCTTACTTCCCTGTTTCCTTCCATCTTCCAAAATAATTTCTAGATGTGCGGCAGCTTCCACGAGTCTATCACAGTCCCGAATCATACTACCAGCCACTTTTATCTTAATATCCCACCTAAGTCTCTTCTCAAACTCTAAACAACGGTGCTTCTCGCCACTAACTCTGGTGCAAACCTAGACAAACTAGTAAAAAAGGCCTCAAACTTTGCTATGATTGTGTCGAGCTGTTCGAGCTGTTCGAACTATTTTCTCATAAGCACTCTGGTTATGGATGGAAGATACTTCTCTTGGAAGGTGTGAGTAAATGCCTCCCATGTGTGCACTATACAGTCTTTGGCATATTTCCACCATTGACCCATGTCCCCTTTCAATTGAAAAGCCCGCAACGTGACTTGAAGCTCATCATCTATTATATGAAACACCTCAAACGTCTTCACTGTCTGTTTAAGCCACTTATCCGCTAGAAGTAGATTAGCACCACCATGAAACTCCATAAGATTAGATTTAAAGAACTCCTTAGCCAAAGAAAAGGATCTAGTCTCTCTTATGGCAGCCTGTACTGCTTCTTCAGCCTCAAGATATTCATAGATTCCCAAAGTGCACATGCCAACTCCCGAGCCAACAATCCCACAACACCATGCACCTCCCGTTTGGCTATACTTGTTGGCCTATCCCCTCTTATCGAGGGGAAACACCCCAACCACCACGACAAGGTCTACCACGACTTCCATCACTACGCCCAGCCATCCTATATAGGAATAAGATATAACTTAGCTCACAATTTAACCCCGAATAAAACCCCACGCTCTACCCAAAAGACCTACACATGTCTATACGCATAACAATTTTCACAATGACAAACCACATAGACATATATTCACGTAAAGCACATACGAATTTTTCTCGTAAGATGTCAATTTTTCCCACAAAGTTCAAAGAATTTGAGTTAGAATGGCATTGATTAGGTGCCCTCCTAACAAGACTCCTAAGAATTTATAGGCATAAACTTCATCTCAAGAGTTTAATCCATACCCACATAATCACAAGAGTACACACAAGTTATACCAAGCACGTAGACGTCCCTTTCTAGCACAACATTTATTACCAACCCCGTTATTTTAATCCAATATCAAGGCACTCATGTGAACAGTAAATAAAAGTGACTAAATTTATAAACTAAAATTTGTCACATTCTCATAGATTCCTCTTCAAATTCTTTACAATGATTTACAAACACTGAAATACATATAAGAAAATTTTGATACATCCAAATTCCATAAAGTCTTACACATTTCAACACCAAGGGCTTGATTTCAACACACAAAATTCTAACTCGACAAATAAGCTCAAAAGCTATAGAGAAACAACATCAAGAAGCTTTAATGCTCCATGTTGAATGCCATTTACTTTCTAACAATATCGTAGTTCACCTTCATCACCTGGAATTTTAGGATATCCAACCCATAAAAAGGGAGTAAACTTTAAAGCCTAGTAAGAAGTATACTTAATACAACCAAATACGACTAATATGCGTATGATCAATGTGATTATGCTATACAAGGTCATTCCATGCTAATGACTTAACTTTGTTTGGAAAACAAATTCTGAAACACATGATTTGTATCCCATATTGACTTAACTCATTAACCATTATCATAACTAAGGACTTTTAGTTTATAACAATCTCCATATAAGATACCTCAAAACACTCCCCACATTTACTGGCCACCGAGCACAGTAGAGCAACTCTTACATTTTTGAAAACCTCCACATTTACTGGCCACCAAGCACAGAGGGGCAATTAGACACCCGTTTTATTTTAAAAACATCTCCATATTTTCCGGCCATCGAGAACGGAGGGGAAATTGGACACCCGTTCCATTTAAAAAACATCTCCATATTTTTCGACCATTGAGCATGGAGGGGCAATTGGACACAGGTGCTTATCACGGAAGGGTAATTGGTCACCTTTACCAAAATAACAATGACATCCCCACATTTTCCATCCACCGAGCACGGAAATGCAATTGGGCACCTCAACACACACAACGCATTTTGAAACCACACACACACCTTTAAATGGTCGAATATTTAATCCAACACCATGGAAATGCAATGCAATGCATGTGTTTCCAAAATCTTCCTCTTTATCTCGAAATTCCTTTTTGATTGCACAAAAGCTCAATAAATAATTCAACAAATAAAATCTAATAAGCTATTCTCATTTTCAAGACTCCACGTCTTACTCTTTACGAACCATCAAACCATGCAAAACATTACGTTACATCCTTTCACAATTCCAAGTATTCACAGAATTCACTTATTTAAATTAACCAATAGTATCATCATAGACAATAAATTTATCCAACACACTTTTCAACATGAAAAAGCACATTAATTTTCAACATAAGATATCGATTAACCCAAACCCTCTTTTAATTTAAAAGTCTCAATTCTAGGGTTTTCAATAAAATTGGGGGTTTTCCTCATTTCCTTGTTAAATCCTCAAATCATCATGTATTAACCATCAATGTACCAAAACATATTAAATCTTTCAAAAGTTTGAGTGAAAACCCCAATTTTGAAATATGATCATCTTTAATCAAAAATATTTCCCATAATACATCAATATTGAACTAAATCATAAATGATTGAGTTAAGAGAACTCCCTACCTCAAGAAGGTGAGTAAACAACGAAGACCCAAGCACGAATCTGACAAAATTGTAATCCAATCGGTAAAGAGGAAGATCCTCACTCCTTCACTAATCTTGCATGATCTAAGGTGGATCCTTGGTATAATAAGGTGAAATCAAAGGTTTTGTGGCTAGGGTTTTCAGACATGAGGAGGGGAGGGAGAGAAAAAGGAGAAAAATAAGAGAAAATGAGTAAAAATTGGCTTTTATACTAGCTGATCCAGAGCAGACCGCTCGAGCACAACTTCCTACGCTGGAGCAAATAGCACAAACTCGAAGTGATTACTAGAGCGATAATTCCACCACTTAAGCAGAAAAAGTAAAGTCCCTAAAGTTTGGCGAAGCTACAGTGAAAATATTGAGAGCATGATTCTACACTTGAGCGACAACTCCACCGCTAGAGCAATCCTGTCTGTAAAACAGCCAACTACTGTGAGTTGAAGATCACCGCTCGAGTGACCAAATGAATGCTTGAGCGGTCCGAAAAAATCAATTGTCACATGCTGACAGATGTCACCACTCTCTCTCTCTCTCTCTCTCTCTCTCTCTCTTATCTCTCTCTCTATATATATTTGTGTTATATTTGAGTATTAGTGGTGGAAAATTTCTAATAGATAGCAAAAACAAGTTTGTGAATTTCAACAATATCTGTTACATTTCTCCAAGTATGCATTTCATGTTGTTTGGTTCCTGGAAAAGAAAATTCCGAAAGAGAGACGTGTTTGGTTTTGCTATTTTGAATAGATAATGACTTTTCTGTATCTCAATAACAAAGATTTGAACAGATAAATAGAATTCTAATATTTGGACATATAGATTTGAAAAGATAATAAAATTTGAATACATAAAGGGAAAAAAATTGAACAAATAAGGACCATTTTGAACAGATAAGGAAAATTTTTGAACAGATAGAAATTTTTTTGAATAGATAGTCAACGAAAGTCAACATATAAATTAAGAGGTAAAATTGAAAACAAAATGTCCTCTAAAGCCAACAAAAGGACTTCTCACCAAACTATTTTATAAAATGTGGATCTTTTACTAACAAAAATATCTACTGGACCTAATGCTTTGCACTCTTCTTACGTTAGAATTTTCAATAATTATCACTAAAATAAATCTTAAATTTTTTATTTTATCAATTTAAACTCGAATATTTTGATTTATTTTCAATCTAAATCATTTCCATATTTTCATTAAATAAAAGTGAAGGAAAAATAATATTTTAGTCATTATATTCAATATAGGTGTACAAAAAATATCTTAAATACTATTTTTCATTGAGTTTAATAACTAAAAATGTCATTTTTAATAACTTTTACTTAACAAAAATATGCAAATGATTTAGATGGAAAGAAATTACAATATTATGGTTTGAATTGACAAAATTAAAAATTTAGCATTTATTTTGTTGTAAGGCTCCAATTCTGAAATTCTTTTACTCTATGTTTGGTTAAGAGATTTGGGAATGGAAAGAGAAAAGGTGTGTGAAACTAAGTGAAATATAGGTTTATTTTATTCACATTTCACCGACCTTTTCCCTTTTCCTTTCCAAATCCCCCAACCAAATACAACGTTATAATTTCTTCAAAAATTTATAGGTATTAATACAAGTTGAACGTGTACTCGTAGGAGATGAGAGTTTTGATTCTTTGTGGAGATGTTATCGACTTGCTAGTTTCAAGCATCTTAAAAAAAAAAAAAAAAAAAAAAAGAAGAAGAAGAAGAAAAAGGAAGAAGAAGAAGAAGAAGCTCTCATCTTTTATTTGATGTGTGTGTATGCCTTTCTTTTCGCAAGAAAAATATGCAAGGGTAGTTTTTTTTTTTTTTTTGATAATCGGTTGTATGGGTTAACTTACGTGTACCTCGACTAATTCAAGCTCTGAAGTTCTATTAATGAAACAAAAGATACCACCTGAGGTACCGTTCATGGTGATTAGCTACATAGCTTGTTATATGCTTTATGAGAAATCTAACTACTATTTCTCATCAACTACCATGTTAAATAGTTGATTATGTAAGGTGTAAATGAGTCAAATAATAGATTATTTAAACCTGATTACAAACTTAACGAATATTATATTGAGGAAATATCATTTTGCCCTCCAAACTATCACACGTTTTTCAATTTGACTCCCATGCTTCGATTAATATCAATTTAA